GTCATCATTTTGCAAACACCGGCATGCGTTGGAAGTGAAAGAAGAAGGCAAAGAGTATGTGTGTGTAGGTATTCCGGCAAGGCGTATTTAACAAGGTGGTGTTGGCCGTATATATAAGTAAAAAATTACACTAACACATTATACGCTGATGTCCATACTGTCATTGGCATGAGTTACAACAAACACATTATTTTGACGTAATGACCTCCACGGCGAAAAACTCAGCTGTCGCCCCAACACCACCTTGTTTAATACACCTTGTATTCCGGCGTTTGAGTAATAGAAGTCGCAATATTTATAACAGAGCTGGGCAATTTTTGCTCCCGAGCAAGGCCAGCGTCGCAGTTCGTATACGTACACAGAAGCATAGCAGCGTATTTCGATTCAGTCCGCTTGCAGATTTCACCAAGGCAATGTCATGAAGATTTTATCAGAGAGTTAGGCGACTTACGGAAGGTTTAAAGACCGGGGCGCACTCCTGGAAGAACAATAATGGCGACCTAGTAACTGATGTCCAGAGCGTACTTAAATTATGGAGGGAACACTTTTCCGCCCTACTAAATGGTAGCAGCACGGAAAGTTGTGGAGAAGAAGAGCCCGAGCCCGCAGTCGATGATGACGGAGTCGACGTTCCACCGCCTGACTATGACGAGGTACGTATAGCAATAACGCGGCTGAAAAACAACAAAGCCGCTGGAGCTGACAGCCTGCCAGTTGAGCTATTCAAGTACGGCGGCGAGGAGTTGATAAGGTGCATGCATCAACTCTTGTGCAGAATATGGTCAGATGAACGCATGCCCGACGACTGGAATTTAAGTGTGCTCTGCCCAATCCACAAGAAAGGTGACCCCGCCATTCGCGCCAACTACCGCGGGATCAGCCTTCTAAGCATAGGTTACAAGGTCTTAGACCTGGAAAATCCACCATAGACCAGGTATTCACAATACGCCAAATCTTGGAAAAGACCCGCGAGAAAAGGGTCGACACTCACCACCTATTTGTCGACTTTAAAGCCGCTTTTGACAGCACTAAAAGGAGTTGCCTATACGCCGCTATGTCTGAATTTGGCATCCCCTCAAAACTCATACGGCTGTGTAAAATGACGTTGAGCAATACCACCAGCTCCGTCAGAATTGGAAAAGACCTCTCCGAGCCGTTCGCCACAAAACGGGGTTTCAGACAGGGCGACTCCCTTTCATGTGACTTCTTTAATCTGATGTTGGAGAAGATAATAAGAGCTGCAGAACTGAACCGCTCAGGAACAATTTACTACAAGAGTGTGCAATTGCTGGCTTATGCCGTTGACATCGACATCATCGGTAACAAAAACCGCGAAGTCTGTTCTGCCTTTCCCAAGTTGGATAGGGAAGCAAAGCGCATGGGTCTGGTGGTAAACTAGGACAAGACGAGGTACCTCCTGTCATCAAACAAACAGTCAGCACATTCGCGCCTTGGCACCCACGTCACTGTTGACAGTTACAATTTCGAGAAAGTAGAGAATTTCGTTTACTTGGGAACCAGCATTAACACCGATAATAATGTCAGCATTGAAATCCAACGCAGAATCACTCTTGCCAACAAGTGCTACTTTGGACTGAGTAGGCAATTCAGGAGTAAAGTCCTCTCTCTACGTACGAAAACCACGCTCTATAAGTCACTCATCATGCCCGTGCTGGTATATGGCGCAGAAGCATGGACAATGACAACATCCGATGAGACGGCTCTTGGAGTGTTTGAGAGAAAGATTTTGCGGAAGATTTACGGTCCTTTACGCGTTGGCGACGGCGAGTACCGCAGACGATGGAACGATGAGCTGTATGAGCTTTACAACGATATGGACATAGTGCAGCGAATTAAAACACAGCGGCTCCGCTGGCTTGGTCATGTCGTTCGAATGGACACCGACGCTCCAGCTCTGAAAGTATTCAACTCGGAACCCGTTGGTCGTAGCAGAGAAAGAGGGAGGCCCCACTGCGATGGAAAGATCAGGTGGAGAAGGACTTGGCTTCACTTGGCGTTTCCAATTGGCGTCAGTTGGCACAGAGGAGAAACGACTGGCGTGCTTTGCTGAACTCGGCCAAAATCGCTTAGGCGGTTACAGCGCCAAAAAAGATGAAGAAGAATGTCATGGTCGGCTGTGGATTGTTTTTCTTCGCAATTTTAGCACGCGCTTGCCACATTTTGTGTAGAAAATTTACAAAAAATCTCCAAAGCAAATAGTGGTGTGTTTTTTTAGATTGGTGTTTGCATGCATTTGCGACGATTCAAACACAAAATATCGCGACCCTATATAAGAACTAGAGTTTATTGCTCCAAGAACTTTCAACAAGCTGCAATATCCGTTATGCGGTTATGCCTACGTATTTTTGATATAAGCAAACTGTATTTTTCATGCCGTGTCAATTTCAAAAAATATAAAATGAGCTGCTTGCTGGCCAACGTTCAATAATTTTGTAATAAGTTCAATGATTTTTATAAAAAAAATGCACAAATTGCATGCCATATTTTAGAATAATTTGTTTCTATCTAAAGAAATCGATATAGAAATTTAAATGCTGTTTTATACGCAAAAATACTTAATGAATAATAAATATAAGTTATATTCTATTTTTAGCACTGAATTCTTATTTGTATGAAAATAATGAAATCTAAACACCGAAATCATCTGGCCGGCCAGCATTTCAAAGATTAGATTCCAATAAAATTGTGGCCGAGTATTAAACAAATGAGTTAAACCTATTTAAATTTTTTACATTTTTACAAATATTCTTCAGGTTTATATAAGTTTCCCAATTACAAAAAAAATATATCTACATTACTAATATAGCCCTTATCTAATGCTTCAGTAGAACATATATTTAATAGTTTAAAAATGTGTAGGACTGACTTGAGGACCAGATTGAGCACTGATGTACTTGCAACAATATTATATCGTCGTTTAAAGTGCAAAACCGCGTATCAACAAAATGCAAAACCGCGTATCATCAAAATGCAGAACCGCGTATGTGAAATTTTAGAAATCATTTTCTAAAGTGTAAAAACATCCATATTTCAAAATGGTTCTCTTTTTTAAAAAGAAATCGCACTTCTGGCTAGTATATTTCAGGACGAATGGATAAGGATTGAGACAAGAGCTTGTGTGAGAAAATCCTATTTTTGGCAGCCAATGTCAGTTACGCGGTTTTGCAGAATCACGATACGCGGTTTTGTACTTTAAACGACGATATACAAACCAAGGCATAACAAATAATGATGATACTTTGTTTAAACAGCAAGAACAAATATAAAAACTGAATTGAAGAATGTAAGTAATTTTTATACTAAGTACCTGTAATGTAAAGAAAATTTTGAGTAATTTCTTCGGATTTTGAGGATTTTTCGTTGGTGTTTGGAAATTTGGTAATTATTTGTGGCAATTGCGAGGGGATATACGTTGTCGTTGTTTTATGTACATTTCTTGTTAAATTTTAAGTGGAATTTTTGTAATATTTTCAGTAACTTTGGGCAATGGCGCAATTTATGTGGCGCCAGCGCTATAAAACCAACACCAACTGTGTGCCGGCGCATGGTGCTAGCGCAATAGCGCCATTGGTTTTTCTATTCAACTTAAGCGCAACCCTTTGTTACAGTGCACTGATTTAATGTGATAACGATAATATCTTGCCATCTCCTACTGTAGATACCATCATTCTTTTATTTCTTTTGGCGCAATTTTATGGAATTTGGTCTGCAAAATTCTTTAAAGGTAAAAATTAAGTTAAATCGAATAAATGTTTGTGTTAAAAATTAGTAATCTATTAGGTATCTTCGATTTCATAAATAACGTCAACACGTGACAGCAACAGGTAAAATAGGGGAACAACCTGGCAGTATGGGCATCATCTATTTCCAGTTATCAATTCCAATGCCGAAAATATAAAAATGGTCAGTAAAATTGGCAAGATCGATTTATAACTTATACCATTCTTCTTCTAACTCATTTTACAAATCGTTTTAAATTTTTGAAGTTACAACGGCAAGTCAATAGACGGCAATAGATTGGTCAACATCCGCGTATTATATTACAAAGCCATTGCACAGACAGTCTACCATTTGCACTACTTAAAATTGAATGACACATTTTAAAACTTTTAATTAAATTAAAGTAAAAGAAAAAGGCTACAAAAAAAACGAGTGACATCTGGCTCAATTTTTCTGAGGAAAAAGACCAAAAAGTCACATGCAAGAGCTGTGGCCAAAAGTTGTCAGCGGAAAACAAGTCAATCTGTTCAGCATATGAAGAGGAAGCACCCCACCCAGATTATTTCGAGGCAGACAAACGTAGTAAGTGAAAACAATAGTGTTGAATCGGGGCCACCTCCTCCACAAAGTCTTCAACTGCAGCAAACAAACCAGCTAACCATTCAACAAATTTTTCAGTACTTTAATAAACCAATTGCACTGAAAAAAAAGGAAGAAATAGACAGGCAGGTTCTTAAATTGATTGTTAAAGAGTACCATGCCTTCAGCATTGGTGAAAATTCGGAATTTAAAAAATAAGTATATCTTTTGAATCCAAATTATCACCTGCCAGCGAGAAAGACGGTTTCTTCAACTCTATTGACAAACGCGTACTCGGAAGTAATGGAATCCGTGAAAGAACGGTTGAAAAGGGCGTTTGCTGTTGGTTTAACAGTAGATGGCTGGACTTCGCGAGCCCAAGACCATTTCTTCAGTGTAACTGCGCATTACATCGTTGACGACGACAAGTCGACATTTCTGGCATCCGATTTGCTTACTTGTATGTCATTTACAAATCGACAAACGGCTGTCAACATAACTAAAATGTTAGCAGACGTGCTGAAAGAATGAAATGTTGCGCATAAAGTTACTGTCATTGTTTCGGATAATGCTGCAAATATGAAAGCGGCTGTGCGTGGAGGAGGTTGGAGGCACTGGGGATGTTTCGCCCATACGTTGAATTTAGTTGCGCAGTCTGGCTTGAAGAGGTTGGAGTGGTATTAGAAAAAGTGAAGGCAATTGTGACTATTTACCAAAAGCAGTTACGCCAGTTCGCAGCTGAAGCAGACAATGGAGGGTGTGCAGATGCAACCTCTCAAGGTAATTAATGACGTTCCGACAAGATGGAACTCTACATATGAAATGTTGAAGCGATTTTTAATGTTAAAAACTCCACTGATCTCATCACTGGCTTTAATAAAATCTTCTGCGCGAGTTAATGAAGAAGTTTTAAACAATGTAGACATTTTGTCAAATGACGAATGGGTAGTTATTGAACAAAGCATTGAGATAATGGAGATGTTTGAAATTATCACAACTTTGATAAGTACGCAAAAACATATTAGTTCTTCGACAATAATATTTTACATTAAAGAGCTGACAAAACATCTACACTCATTTCGAACTGCTGAACTCGTACTAACAACGCAAAAACTAGTCAAAAAGTTGCTTAGTGAACTTAGTGACCGCTTCATAGATTTGGAAAAAACGTATTAATTTCACAAACTACAGTTTTGGATCCGCGATTCAAAAAGTTTGGATTCATAAACGAAACAAATTATAAAACTACTGTAGCGATGCTGTACAACAAAATCGCAAGTGTAAGAGTTCAGAGTGACATCTTCTTAGAAAGTGACGTAGAGGAAGTAAATCTTACTAATATACAAAATCAGCGATTAGATAAAGTGTGGAAAGACTTTGATGATGAAGTTCAGCAAAATTTAAGGCCACAAAACCAACTCGCATCTGCAATAGTAGAACTGGATTAATATTTAGCTGAACCTATGCTGCCACGAAAGGATAGGAATGGCAAAGATCACTGCCCATTGCTATGGTGGAATCAAAGAAAACACATACATATATCCAAGATTGTACGAAATAATGAAAGCTAGACTATGCGTTCCAGCGACATCCGTCGCTTGTGAACGAATTTTTTCGCATGCAGAACAAATTTTAACACAAAAAGGAGAAAACATAAAATCATCCAAATTGTCGAAAATGGTGTTTTTAAATTATAACATAGATAATAAGGATTTTTGAGGATGAATAACAAGATAGCAAGACTGTATATGTGTACCTTATACCTAATCTTATTTTATTATTTATTTATTATGTATTATATTTATTTACAACGAAATATTTATTTTAAAAACAATGTGATATAAATATACAAGCTTTTAAAACAAAATTATAGTTTTAAACTCGTACCATATGAATTTTACTTACACTTATGTAGTGTATTACACCTTAAACGATGTATTATGTATGTATTTGAAATATTTTCGTTTTGTTTATGTTTTATATGCAATATAGTATTATAGTGCTTTGCAATGTATTGTTTCAACTCAATAAATTATAAAATGAATTCACTTTCCCTTCGAGTAATTTTTTACAGTGGGGGAAAAATCGGGTAAATTATACATACCTACTTCTATAATTTTAAAGTCATATAGCTAATGCGTAGGTGTTACCCAGAATTATAGGCAGCTTAGCGTCTTGGTTACCCACCTGGTTACCTCAACCAGCTTTAGAAGTTACTCCAGAGGTAATAATGGAGTTATAGTTATTCAAGTTTTTGGTTACCTTTTTCCCCTCTTAATCCTTTGAATTAAAAAAATCTTTTTAAGTTAAAAAATTTATTAACTCATAATTAACAATGTGTTTATTAACTAACATTAAATATTGTGGAAACGAATTAAAAATTATTTAGAGCTACTCTATTATCAGAAAAGCGCAGACAACATCCGAATTATTTTTTTTACATGTACATTTCGAAGTAATTGACAACTTTGCTCCAATGTGTTTAGCAATTTGCGTAAACAAATAACAAGTGGGAAACAGAAAAGTGCGTTACTACACCTTTTCAAGTTTATAATGAGAAAATACACATTGATAATGAGAAACGTAAATTCATATTGAGAATATATAAATTCATAATGAGAAATGTAAATTCATATCGAGAAAGTACAAATTGATAATGAAAAATGTAAATTCATATTGAGAAAGTAAAAATTGACAATGAGAAATGTAAATTCATATTGAGAAAATACAACTTGATAATGAGAAATGTAAATTCATATTGAGAATATATAAATTGATAATGAGAAAACGTAAATTCATAATGAGAAAATGTAAATTGAATTGAGGAAGCACTTGCACAGCATTCCTCTGGAGAACATCCGTATTACGTTTAGGTCCATATTCCCCAATGCTCAACCCCATTGAGAGTATATGGTCCAAAATAAAGCATCATGTAAGGGCACATTTACGTATACCACAAGTAAGTGGGACTGGGGTGTGCGAGCAAAGTGCAGTGGATGAAGCAAAAAACTATGTAACGGGAGGAGACTGCGCAAGAGCAATTCAACATGCAACTACATTCCACCCAGATGTTCTAAGCTTAGTCGATGTGCAAGTGGGGGTGTAAATGCGTTGTCCAACTTTAATTTCGGGTTGTATATGTACTTGCATATTACAAAATTTTTTGGCAGTGTCCTTTGATACTTGCTTTTATTTACCTAATATCGCGGCATTAGCTCGCAGACTCCAGAGTAATGTACTTGTAGCTCTTCATTTTTATAATTTTTTATGTTCTCATTATCAATTTACATTTTCTCATTATGAATTTACGTTTTCTCATTATCAATTTATATACTCTCATTATGAACTTACATTCCGCATTATCAATTTATATATTCTCAATATGAATTTATATTTCCCGTTATCAATTTGTATTTTCTTATTATGAATTTATATTTCTCATTATCAATTTATTTATTCTCAATATAAATTTACATTTCTGATTATGAATTTGTATTTTCTGAATATGAATTTACGGTTCTCATTATCAATTTGTGATTTCCCAATATGAATTTACATTTTCTCATTATAAACTTGAAAAGGTTTAGAATCAGTAGCCGACAGTTAGTATCAAGTTGCCATACGTAATGCGATCTATATGGCCCATCGGCTATCAGTCGCCATACATAACAGAGCCATTAGTTAATAACTAGTACTTAGACAATTTATACGTTCGTGAAGCGGTAGCCGCCAGTACCAATTTGGTAATGATCACTCAATTTTATCCACTGTGCTAAGAAATATTATACTGCTCCACTGCGATATGGTGTCAAACTTGTGAAGACAATGTCGGCAACATTCGGCATACGGCTGGTAAAAATCTATTTGAAGTGATATTAGAGTTTAACTAATTGAAATTATACAAGTCCACTTTACCTTGCCATAGAAGCCCTATGTATGTCCTACCAATCGTCTTTCACAAAGCAAATAATCGTGGGTGTTTCCAAATTTGCATACAGTTTGAAAAGTGTTTGTTTGGTTTTCGTTGCTGCTTTCTGAAGGCTGATTCACATACAACTTTTTTCGCTTTGCTTGATAGTTCTTTGCTTTGACATATAAGATCGATGTAGGCATATGCATGAGTATGCTCACATAAAAAACGTTTGAAGCAAAGCAAAGCAAAACGAACCAAAATCTTGGGCAACTCTCAACTTTTGCCCGCTTTGGCAATCAGCTGTCTACATGTATCTTTTCTCGTGCGCTTGCATTTGCATTTAATGACAAAAATAGGGTAAATAAGAATTATTATTGCTATTATTAATGCATATTATTATATTGTTATCTATTTTAAAGATAAAAAATATAGAGAAAAAGGAGAACGCAAAAGCTGTCAAAGCGTTTATTGTAGCATACCTTCTGCGTTTCACGGTTTGTTGTCAAAGTTTGAACTGTCAAGCAAAGCGAGGAAAGTCTTATGTGAATGGCCCTTGAATGCAGGTGTGCTTCATGATTCAATAATTAAAGGTTTGCTCATTATTGACATTAGACTTTTGACACTCCCTTAGCTGGCTTACAAAAGCTTTGCACACACACACGAACCCACACACAGTGCTTTGCTAAGGGAGTGTAAAGATTGGAAGGAGTTTAGTATTGTCTTAGCTCTACAGCCGCATTTAGGTGAGCATTAAAATGCTCCACAGTGATTCCAAAAGTAAAACGCAAGTAAAAACGTTGAGTCTTAAAGTGG